CCATTTTTTTTTATGTGAAGGCTCCTACTTTCGACGCCCCCGTAGTTTGGAATCTACGTGCGAGAGTTTCAAGATAACTGCGAATATGGTGAAGAGGATAGAAGAATCTAGGTTGTGTGATGTGGAATTTGTCCCGAGGTTTTTGATCCCAAAGGCGAAGGGTCAGCATCGTATATCCTTTTGTTGCCTTGACTTGTGATTTTTTTTTTTTTTTTTTTTTTGTAGTTCTTTGGTAGTGTATACTTCATGTCTCTTATGTGTTTGTTATCTTTTGTAGATGGGGGTATCACCTTTGCGGCACTCCGAGCTAAGGCGAATGGGACGTCGAAGAAGGCATCGAAGAAGGTTCCTTCTACATTGGGAGGTTCTTCAAGTGGTTTGCCTCGTGAGGATGTCCATGTAGAAACTCCTCAAGTAGTCGCAGATGACCGTAGCAGTGCTGGTGAAGTGGATGGGCGTCCACTGACGAGGGATCGCGGCAAGGGAAAGAGGGTGGATACCGAGTATGTGGTTGTGCCTAAGCGTCCAAGGGTAGACCCAGAGGAGACCTATGCTTTCCATGGTGGGGGAGAGAAACAGTTGTTTAGCTATGGCGTGAATCGTGACGGTAAGGAGTCGTACTGGGATGTGTCGGACTATGATCTGCCTATGTTGAGTACCGAGGGATTCGTTCGGGAGTATGACCCTGCTCGGATGTCTGGTAAGGGCCCTTCTCACATGTTGGGCCAGCCCATTTAGGTATATCAATTACAAAACCGAAAAACCCTCCTTATTATTCTGCCATAAATCACGCCCGTAATCCACTCCAACATCGTCGTCTTCTTCGTCCCGCTTTCACAAAGCCCATCCAACAATGGATACTGTTCTTGGGGAAGACAGTAATTAGAGGTTACAACCATATTTTTTTCATTTACGAAAACCCAGTTATTCTTGATTTGTGTCTCTGCAAGATGGTTCAAAAATCAACAGCGAAGAGTAAATGATTACGGTATTTCGTTTTTTGAGTTAAATCGATTTTTTGAATATTGCAAGTAATTTACAAGAATGTTCTTAATTTTATTCTGCATTTATTTCTCGGAATGGGCAAACCATTACAGGAAGAAGAATGTCGAAAATCAGGGCCTGACATTATGGAATTAGATCCTGGTGAGTTATGAATTCAGTAATCGATATATATGTGTCGTTAACTTATGCTTGGTTGTTGTCAAAATATTCATTATTACTGGTTTTTGTGATATGCATCTTTAAGCACAAACCAATGTGTATGTTTTGTTTATCAATTTTTGACTACGAATATTAATATGTTGGACCTATACAGGGAATGTATGGTTTTTAATGGATATGCGTTGTTTTATAGTTTCTTTTTTTTGTTTGAGGATATGCGATGTTTGAATCCTTTATGTTAAGTTTTGAACAATGTTGTATAAAGAAACTACTAATTGGTTATTGAAGTTGTATTTATACATGAAAATTAAACGGGTGGATTAAAAATATGTGTGGTGTTCAGATTGTGAAGTACAGTGTGGTTATATGTTTTATGTTGTGTGGATTTATAATCTAATTTATTCCTTGAATTTTCTACACAAACTCATTCTTTAAACAAGTTCAGAGCTGTCAGCAAACTGTTCAACTTGACAACAAAACCAACCACAAGATTACTCTTGTAAAGAAGAAGAGAAATCCCTGATTAAGTATTCTCGAACAAGTTCAGAACAAATTGTCAGAACACTCGAGGCAATTATTTCCTCAACTCTATCACAATATCCTCAATTAAATAGTTACTCAAATGATATCTGTTGCAAAACCATCAAGCAAAATAGACAGTTCTAATATTTGCATTGACTCAAGAATCTGGCACAAGTGCTAGATCTGTAGAACATAAAATGCTATCAAGTATCTAATATCATTTATGCTTAAGAAAAAGTATTAAATAACATCTCCATCACCCAACAAAAGTGGTAACAAAGAAACTTTTAATTATTGAGGAATTATATCAAACACCTTGACTGCGGCACCCACAATTGGATATTTTTTTTTGTATGCATACAAGAGTAGATTGACTGACCATTCTCTTACAAGGAATGTCAAATGCCTAACAGAAAAAGCACATGCTGATTTATTGCCCCAAATAAGTTTGCGAGAAAAGGAGTTAACAATGGATGATGATTTTTCAAAACAAATGATCGATGATTAATATTGGAGGAAAATATCGAACAAAAGAATCACAGGATGATTTCTTGCACCAAAAAAGTTTGCCACACTGGGAGTTACCAATCGAGAGTTTTGCAAAAAATAAAATAATCGATGATTAATATTGAAGGAAAATACCGATGATGAATCTTGGTTCTTTTTTTCTTAGAGGAACGATCTTTAATGAATAAAGGGGATTAATGGAATTAGATTTATAGTTTAAGAAGAAGAAGAATTAGTTTTGACGTAATGTTGTATCTAATTCGATATGATTTAAAATTTGTTGATTTATAATTATTAATTTTTCCATTTTTTTTTGAAGTTTAATTGGAAGGGAGTTTTATGTAATTTTATTTGTAACCCATGGATCGTACATTTATTTGTTAGGTACGTACTAATCTTATGTGTAATATTTTTATTGGCTCATAATGGTCCGAGAAGTACAACCCTCTCGGACCCTAGACAACCCCTAGAGTTAATGAGGGTAAAAATTGAAAAATAAGCAATTAATGCAGCATTCGAATTGTAAAGTGACACATAATATGGAAAAAATCCGGCGTTGACTTTTCAATTTCTTTTTCTTTTTTTTTCCGGATTTTTTCACCGGTTTCCGGCGTTGACTTTTTTTAGTGGCTTCAAAAGCTTTTTTGTTTTTTTTTTTTTTTTTTGGGGGGGGTTTTTAACCCCCCCCCCCCCCTCTTCAGCCATGGATCCCCTTACTAAACGTTGACCTTAATTGTGCTGTCACTGACAGTAAATTAACATAACAATGACAATTAATTAACGTATTGTACTGCCGTTGACAATACATTTATGTAATTGTTCTGCCGTTGACATTAAATTAACGTAATATTATTATTTTTTATTTTTTGTTATTTTTTTTAATTTGTTGATTTGATGACAAGTCAACGTAATTATATTATTGTCGTTGACGGTAAAATAACTGTAAACACAATAATATTACTGTCAACCACATCAATATTATTATTTTGTTTGTTTGAGTTAATATTATTGTCTATTGTTGTAATATTACTGTAAACACAATAATATTATTGTGGTATTGTTGTAATATTACTGTAAACACAATAATATTATTGTGGTTGGCGGTAATATTAATCTCTAGCACAGTAATATTAACACAACAAAACTCATTATTATTTTGTAATAGAGTAATATTACTATGTTGACCGTTCAATAAATGTAAACATAATAAAAAAGCCAAAAGAATTAATATTATTGTGAGTGACAGTAATATTACTATAACAACAGTAATATTACCGCCAACCACAGTAATATTACAATAATAGAAAATAATATTATTACGTTACTCCGTGAATAACTCAAACAAACAAAAAAATCCAAACAAAATAATAATATTGATGTGGTTGACGGCAATAATATTACTGTGTAAAACTGTAGTTTAGTTAATTTTACTATGTTTAACAGTAATATAGTCAATATTACTGTCAATCACAATAATATTGCTGTTTAAACGAAAAAACAATGTTACAGAAAGAAAAAAAAAATTGAAAAGTCAACGCTGGAATCCGGCGGCAAAAAATTTTTTTTTTGAAAAAAACCAATTTGGGTTAAAATTGAATAATTTGTCAAATTTGGGGTCAAATTGAGGTTAAATTAAGTTAATGATGAAATTAGAGCATATTAAAATATGAAGGGATATTTTAGTTTTTTATAAAAATCTCGACCATGTGTAAACTTATTGGTAAATGAATTTTTTCTCTGAATCTCTTTATAAATAAATAGGCATTGATGGGCTTATTTGTAATGACCCTAATTTTATAATGAACTAGTAATACACCCGTGCGATGCACAGGGTATTCATCGTAAAACAAATATTGAATAATTAAAAAGGTTCTCGAAATAGTAATATTAATTGTTAATAAGTAAAAGAAATAAATAGAAAATATTCAAAAATAAAACTAATTTGTATGGTGTAAGTGATGAAATAAGTCGATATAAGTGAAAAAAATAAACATCGAAGGTTTTAATTTCATATACAAAAGATCGAATATATAGTAGGTCCCAAACTTGTACAACCACAATGACATGAAAGTTGAAAACTTGATTTGTTTGATACCAACCGCCCTAAACCCATGCAACAAATCCGATACAATGCAACTGTATAATGGTATAAAATCATTGTACAAAAATTACCAAAACAATACCAATAGAACTGACCTGCATATGTTGTACAATGGTGACACGAAATATGTAAATTGTTACCAAAACAATACCAATATCACTGTTTAATGGCATAAAATCATTGTAATAAAATTATCTTCATGATATATAGTGAGCGGAGTCCATAGCAAGTTCCTAGTACAATTAAAATAAACCTACAAATGAGAAATAACAAAACATATAAATAATAGAATATAAAGGTGGTCAATGAATATTGTAATTTTTTGTATATAGAATTACCTTCATATACGCTGAAAAACTTTCTTGTATACAACATTATTTGTAACATTGGTCCTATCACCAGATTCCGAGTTAAACAAAATCTATATGCCACTTCGACTCTTAACTCTCGAGAGTGCGACATAGAGTTGCATGTGACTGAAAACAGGTCTCGGCAAATACAGACCCACGTGAGAAAGAGTCTGTCATAGACTTTTATTGATTGTCATTGCGAATGATACCATCAGCGGAAACTGACGTTGCTGGAATTTAATAGGCAATGTAGAGTTGGACGGTACCAAAGTCATTCTAGGAATGAACACCAAATCACCAATATGTTTACCGGATAGGAACCTGGAGTTGAAAACGTGTTTTCCCATATTAACAACCTAAAGCCTTGTTCCATTGCACAATCCTCTGGCCTGATCAATATTTCTGATGAGCATAACGGGAATACCTCTTTCCAATGTCAACTTATGCGGTGGAATTCTGGAGTATGATATTTTTTTGAGAAACGCGTGTGAGTATATATCTGCGTTGACATCCGACAATAACTCCTCCTTGCACATACTATCGGAGCTGAAATAGAGCTTCTCCTCTCCAGTTATGATCGACAAAAAATGATCGTTCACAAAACCGACACTTTCATTAGTGGGTGCAAGAATTGCTCTGCCTTCGAAATACTCGGGAGTGAAAAGGTTGGTCACCAGATCGGGATAGACAAATTCTATAAGATCCAAAAAGGGATATGAAGAATTCCGAATCTGCATGTCATCGGGAATTTCAAATGCGGCATCACCGTCATTTACCTCGCCACCATCGCCATTGCCGATTCTCAATATCTATTTCGCAAATTCTCTTATTTCATCTGCATTGGCGGAAGAGGAGGACAACTCAAGTCTCATGTTCTTGTTCAACTTCATAACGTTACATTGTATCAACAACGGTGATGAATTGATTGTATCATGAACAATGTCTTGTCTCAACGCTTTCAACACAACTGGCAGAATTTGCCGAAAGTCCCCTCCAAACACTACAACCTTGCCTCCGAATGGCATATCTTAATCAAGTATAGATTTCATTGTTTTGTCGACTGCTTCGAAACAGTACATGTTCATCATCGGTGCCTCATCCCATATGATTAGCTTTGCTCTAGACAACAATTTTGTCTGTGGGCTCTGTTGTTTGATGTTGCATGTGGAGTTTTCATGTACAATTATTGGCAGTCCAAATCTCGAATGAGCAGTTCTGCCACCTGGAAGTAGAGGCGAAGCAAAACCACTGGAAGCAACATTTATAACTATTTCGTCTTTTGAACGGATAACAGCCGATAAAGTTTTCCATACGAAAGTCTTTCGTGTTCCTTTATGCCCATAAAGAAAGAACAGTCCACCTATGTCTTTTGTAACAACATCCATGATATAATCGAACACTTTTTAATAAATAGTTTCCTCCATTGAGTTCTAACAAATATTTGATAAAAAAATTCTCCAAATAATAAAATGAATGGTTGATATGCAATACAAAGCAGTAGAAAACTATTAAATAAAAAACTATTTCGTATAGTATAAGTGATCAATTAAGCCAAAATAAGTGGAAAAGTTAAAAATCAAAGGTTTATTTACCGTATACAAAGAGTGAATACACCGTTGGTCCCAAAATTGTACAACCATAACGACCAATTAATTCAAATTCTTAATTTGATCCAAACAATTATTGTTATTGCGTTTGATAACAACAACCCTAACGCATGTATCTAATACAGTGCGAGTAACATATATATTTTGTACAGTGGTCATACGAAATAACAAACAATTACCAAAACAACAACAATATAAATGTTTAATGAAATAAAATCATTTTACACTAAATTTACCTTGATAAAAAATCTCGAGTGGAATCGATAGTAAGTTCATAGTACAATAAAAATTACAAATAACCATACATATAATTAATAAAAAATTAAAGGTTGTTAATTAATAATGTATACAATTTTACGTAGTTGCCTTAATATATGATGACAAGTTTCCAGGTGTACCACATTGTTTGTAACGTTGGTCGAATCCCCAGATTCATACTTGATAAAAATCGTACATAGGGGTTATTTAATTGAACATGTTGCACACCAAATTTGGATAAACAAACTCTATAAGATCCAAAAAATGAATCGAAAGAATCATGAATCGGCATGTCATTGAGAATTTCAATTCCAGTACTGTTTTATTAATATCAATCTTAATCATAATCCTCAATTTATTTTATGCTACACCCAATAAAATACACCAGGTAGATCTTTACCATTCATATGCGCACAAATATAAAAACACATACATTGGTGTGTGGATCCAAGGTAAAAGAATCACCCAGTGTAGTCTTCATCGGTTGTAGCAGAGAAATAACCCATAATCCTCGTACTAATACTAATACTAATACTAATACTAATATTAATACTAATACTAATACTAATACTAATACTAATACTAATAATATTATTACATATATCATATGATAATGCTAACTTTAATATACTAATGTCAATACTAATACTAATATTAATATACCAATTACAAAAACAATACTACTACCAATATCAATACCAATACCAGTACCAATACCAAAACCAAAACCTAAACCTACACCAGCACCAGCACCAACACCTACACCAACACCAACACCATTACCATTACCATTACCATTACCATTATCATTACCAATCACATTACCATTACCGTTACCATATCCC